CAAATTTGACAAATCAATTGTGAAATTGAGATTGACATCTCCTGCGTTATATGCTTCTACATATTGTACAAGCGGCGAATCCAACCCCACCCACATCGATTTCAACCAAATTTCTTTCCTTGGAAAGAAAAGGAGAGGTGTGTACTGCGGTAGAGTTGATCCGGTCATGCAAATCTGCAGAGTTGTTTGTCAGCTTCAATCAGGTGGTATATATTATTATTGTTATTCAAATATAATAATGAAATTACGTCTTTCATTTATCGATTAAACTTAGAATTTTATTGTTTAAAATACATTGGTTCATTAATTTTTGCAAAAAATTTTTACAGTTTTCTTTATCTGTTATAAAAAAAATAATCTTTGTAATTATTTTGGGTAGCTATAATGGAAAATACACATTAGTTTGCAGGGAAACTGAAGCTCGAAAAAACTATTAAAAATATCAAACTATCAAATATTTTTAGCGAAATTGTAATTCTTCTAATAATTTTATACACACTTAAAACAATTTATCAACGATTTGAAGTTCCATCTTTTTTAATCTTTTCTACGTAGTAATTACATCAATGAATTGTATCAACTGAAATATTTTTTAAACGAGAATATTAAACACAACAGTAAAAAATGTCTTTTCATTCATATTTCTGTTGACAATTGCAGCATCATTTGGTAGGTATGTCAGTTGGTTTGCGGTTCATATGTTGTTTTTTGATTCACAAGCTAGTTCGTTCTAGGTTTATATATTGGTTGGTTTGTGGCTCATTTGTTGGTTCGTTTCTAGCTCATATGTTGATTTGTTTGTGATTCATATACTGGTCCGTTGGTAGTTCATACGGTGTTTGGTTCATATTATTATTATTATTACAACTTATGTAGCGCCAATTAAAATGTAAAATTTATCAAAAGCGCTCTCAAAATGCAAAAACAAAAACAATGTCAGGATGAAAACAAATAAGTCTTTAACAGCCTTCTAAATGTCAACAAATTCAGACTAGGATCCCGTAAATGGCTTGGGAGATTGTTCCATATCCTAGGAGCCAAAACAGCAAAATTTCTAGATCCTTTTCTTAACTGGCTTGTCTGTACTTACTGCCAGGTAATTTGACTCATCAGATCACAAATTGATATAATGAGGTGCCCTTCGTGTTGTTTTGTCTATCAAATATCTAGGTGCACAATTATTGATGCATTTAAAAATTAATACACAAGTTTTGAACATAACACGATTTTTGATAGACAGCCAATGTAGTTGCTTTAAAATTGGTGAAACATGGTCGTATTTAAAGGCGCCAGACACAACTCTAGCCGCACGATTTTGAATTGACTGTAACATCCCAAATGATTTTTCTGGTAAGCCGTTGAATAAACTGTTACAATAATCCAAACGCGAATGGATGAACGCATGCATTAACATCTTGAGAGTATTTTCGTCTAGCGATTTTTTTATCAATTTCAACCTACGTAGTTGGAAAGTGCAAACTCCCATCAATGATTTTATGTGATGATCCAACGTTAACTTAGAATCAATTTTAGCGCCAAAACTTGAAGCATTTGTACAGAATTCCACTTTGACATTATCTATATCCAGTGATGAGATATTTATTTTTGAAAGCTGTTGCCAGGTTCCTAGCGGCAGTAGTTTTGTTCTACTCTGATTAAGTTTTAGTCTGTTTTTAATCATCCATTTATTGACCTCTGCCAGACAACGTGTTAAGTTGTTACCCATCTCATCAAACTCCTCTGGCGGGCAACTAACAATAATCTGTATATCATCAGCAAAGGCATGCCCGAAATAGTATATATGTTGGTTTGTTTGAGACTCATATTTTGGTTTGTTTCAGTTTCATATGTTGGCTTGTTTGTGGTTCTTATTTTGGTTTGTTTGTGGTTCATAAGTTGGTTGGTCCACCCGTTTGTTTAACTGGAATACAACTTTTTTCTTTTATATTCTTGGTACAAAAATTAATGATCATAAATTTTGCACTTTCGAAACAATATAAATAGAACGAAAAATTTATTGAAAACTATCAACCTTAGCATGATTCCCGTTATATATTCGAAATACAATCGGAAGCTGATTATCACCTAGTAGGGAATATTTGTATGTGAAACTGATGCAACTGCAGCAGCCAACATTTAAAAAGCCTCTTGTTTGGCTTGAGGAAAATATTTGCTTATCCAAAATTTCCATCTTTTAATATTTTAATTAAACTGTTAGAATTATAAATGCATGGGATATTATGGCTGACGTTACTTTTTTGAAATAATCAGGTGACATGTTAATCGATTCAGCCCATTTGTTCACGTTCGCTTTCTTATCATCCTCCAAGTAAACTATATCCCTAATAAATGGACATTTAATTGTAAAATAATTTCCGCAAGGCCGAGTTTACGTTACAACAAACTAGTTAGGGTATGTGTGTGTGGATGTTTCAACATTACGGTGTAAATATGTGTGGATGTTTCAACATTCCAATGGAAATATGTGCAGGTGTATCAACATACCAGTGTAAATCCACCAGACCAACGTTCTTCAGGGTGAACAACATCGTACAGTCCTCACTTCCCACAAACGCAGGAGGAAAAACAAGATTGATAACTTCATTTTTTTGTATGCTAACAAAATTAGTAGATTAAAATTATGTAAATATTGAGTAGTTTTCATTAGAAATTATGGAAATGTAGACATAGAATTAAATGATATTGACGAATCTTACTGAAACCTTTTTGCAAAGTAATCGCTGTCCTGTTTGAAGTTCTCATTCAAACTGAATTAATAATGTTAAAAAAATTTTCAAAAACCAACGTCTCGTAATAATAACAAAAAAATAAAGCACAAACTCAGTAATTGAAAGCAAGGACCACAAAAAATTGCGACTAAAGGAGCAGCTGGTTGTGCACTTCACATCGACCACCGACATGCATGGGATCGTGCCACAGCCGAATATTTTGCATAAAATTAAACGAGGCTGGTTTTCAAGCTGTTCACCTTGAGTGGTCATTATGAGAAAAAAAATTCAATAACATTTGCTCGAAAGATGAGAATTTAACATTTATCATAAACAACCTTGAGCGTTCAGCAGAGTGTATGAAACTATCCACATGTAATACAACTGTTTCGTCAGACAAACGCTGCAGGTTAAATTTTGTTTTATCGAAGGTTGCAAGTTACCCCTCATTGGCGATAGCACGAGTGCTGAAAACAAAATGAACACATTATTTGCATGCTTTATAAACGAATAGTGTTGACCAATTTTTTCAATTTCTGTATTACGCAGTGCTAACAAAGACAATACTTCATGGTTTATTTGCTTTTCAAGAAAAATTTTGTTGCCACGAAAGATGTAAACATGGAACTACATGGTGCTGAGATGCAGGTAGTACGTGACAAACGCGGCGAGGCCTGTCCTATTGTACGAGTTCAGTGCAGACTGCATTCAAACCTCGTCCACGCCACTAACACCAACGAATACGAAAAATTGACCAATCGACGAAAGCGTGTTGTGTGATCAACACAAAAATTTCACAAGTATCAAAAAGTTCAAAAATTATAAAAGAATTAACAAAAAACCCTAACTTTTATTTTTGAAACTTCTCCAATAAAAAACCAACAATGACGTTATAAGCTTAAGAAGCGGAAAAAGTTGAGGTCAAATAGACGAGAGAATAAGAAAAAGGAACGCGACTCGTTGATTCAACTTTGCGAGATGGAAGCAAATGTTATTTAAATGTTACTATTGAAAAAATGTTCAAATAGAAATGCGATATGCTCTTTATTTCATATACCAAGCTCATCTTTCTCGTAATTAGTGTCATACTAGAAAAAATAAGTTTGAAACTCAACTCAAATGATAAAGAAATTCGTGTCTCTCAACAACATCTTGCTTCTTGGAGCCCATCGTGCCCCAACACATTTTATTCTTATTCACTGACCACCGTGATATGCTGCAAAACTTTATGGAAACATTAAAATTACTCGCTTGAATTCTCTCTGTAGTTGATCGTCAGTGTAACTTGATCGTTGCGCCATCAAAATTATAACAAACGCGTAAAACGTTAAATAAAAGTTTTATAAAAATTATCTGTAAAAATTAATGTTGAAGCAAAATTGCGTAGAAATATTTTTTCGTCGTGTTTACAACATTTGTTATAAATGTTTTCTGCAGAAGATTTTAAAGCCGACTAAATAAACATAATCAACATCTGCACTTGCCAAATTAATAATCTAAATGCTTGCACAGCTGCTGTCCAAGATAGGTCCATAACCAACTTTTTTAACCTAAACCTGGAAAGTCCGGTTGTCATGTTCCTCGGCAACTGTCGACAACTGTCACAGTGCTCTCCTCCGGTCCCTGTTAATATAGCTGGTTTTTCTCAGTCAATCTCAAATAGCATCAAACTACTTTGATTCTTGCCTATCTCTTAACTCTCAAATTTTTTCTGTTACAAAACCTATATTATCACCTGGTTCTTTCTCGTCACTATTTTTCTGTTGATTTGACTTCTACCCTAAATTGCTGTCCTGTTCTTTTTAGTTCTGACAACTGGTACTCTCCCTTAATTGGTGAATCCCTCAAACTCATTTTTTCCTTCTAACCTGTTCGAAACAAATTAGCCAAATTAATTTTTGATGTATAAATAATTTTTTCATGAAAGATGAATGAAGAGTAGTTAACACTACAAAGGGCTCGGGCATGTTATACTATTTAAAAGATGCACCTCTCTTTAAAATTGAAAATGCTTTTGGTTGCATCTCTTAACATCAATATTAAAGATAATTGTGTATCGCTAAAAACACTTCAAAAACACTAGCTTGAAAAATTATTTCTAAAATAAAAAGGAAAATTTTTCTCAAATTCCTAATATCAATATTTGGAGTCCGAGTTGGGTGAAATTTCTCCTGCTGGTAAAAACCAGAAATAATAAAAAATTTTACAATTACAAAACATCAAACTCAAACGACTATTTTATGATTAATAATAAATATAACTGCTCGTAATTTATAAGGCTAACAAGAAAACAACGACACCTGATTCGCCATCACACGCCATGTTGCTGCATAACTGAACATCGTTCAATTCACACTTCCAGTCGGTCCGCATGTCCGTTGATGACATCTGCTGGACGTGCAGCTCATAGTTCAGATCGCAGTCGCCGTCGTTGTAGATCGGAGGCAGTCGGCGACAGTGAGACTCCTTCAATATTAAAGGACCGAGATCTATATTATCCTGCAGACTCTGTTAACAACATGAAATGTTCAGCAGTGTTAGCTTTTCAATCGCTTTCAATGATATCGTAATCAGGATGCCCAAGCCGTGTGATTGAATTTATTTTTAAGTTATTGTTTATAATTTGATAAATTATTTTTGTTATGAAAAATTTTAATTAAAACATTGATATTTATTATACATGAATTAAATGAACATTATAAATTTGAAATTTCAGATAAATTTAAAAAATAAGATTACCATGAATAAATAAATAAATTATTTGCAAAAGTAACAGGAATGACAGCTCATCAAAATATAAGCAGAATTGAACGTAAAACCAAATGTGGAAAAATGGATGGCTTCCAAAAGACCATAAACCCATGTTCAGCTATGAGTGTTTTGCAATGAAAAAAGTAAATATAACATCGAGAAATAAAATATAAATCAGGGATAATTTATGTCAAAGATTGAAACAATCACTGATAGTGGTACAAATTTCAAAAACGTAATATTAGGCTGAGTAGAAAGATAATCATTCTCTTTATGCTACCAAGAGGCAGACAGCAAATATTTTTTGGAAGGAGATCAATGCTAATTTAAATTTATTTTAAATTAAAAAGCAGACTTGCACGTTCTCTCATTTAGAGATCGCAGGAAATATGACGTCGGCTTGGGTTAGATGAGATTTTCAACTCAAAGATGATGCCAGAGTTAAAATACGAATTTAATTTTACTCAACTTAGGAGAACAAATAGATAAATAAATCATTATGCTAATACCAAAATGTATAAAGTAATATGAAGGTTCAGCAAAAATTTAAAAAAGATCCCGTAACTAATTTAACCATCCGACTAAAACAAGTTAAACTAGGAAACGATGCTGATAGAAAAGCTTCATAAAAATTGTTTTATTCTCCAAGTAGAAACATCTCAAAGGTAGATGATATTATGAGACAACAGAAAACGACAGTAAGTTTAATAAATCAGTTGTTCAAAAATGATGGACGAAAACAATGATGCAAAAATCACTGCCTGGATGCGACCAACTGCAATGGCAATGTCAATTAGTTACGTTACCACAATAATAATTGTGAAAAACATTATGTAGGTTTCACATATTTTAGATAACTAACTTTGATAGACGATCGCGAGCCATGACCTACCAATATCACTTGCTGAATGACTTCTTTTCCTCTTTCGACCCAACCACTGGCAAAATTATTTTCACCAAAATTTTGATTTGTGCCAAATTTACAATCAATTTCTGACTGAGAAGATGTTTGAGACGCACATTTTTCCATCAATATTATGCGTAGTTTGATTTTAATTATAATTTCTTCGTAAAATTCAGTTTTATAACTCCAGTTCAAAACCTGTATATAGCAAAGTTGAATGTTAAAATGTTAAACGTATAAAAAATTTTATAAAATATTTTAGTGTGCTCGATTTAGCTTCCATATTAAGATACACACGTGCATTGTATTTATTAAGAAAATATGAAATAAAAACCCTTCATGAATTGTAGATAGAATTACAGTCGTGCTAACAACCTTCGATTCAAATGGATTTAGTACCCAATCTAATGCATCTACTTTGATACAATTCCTGAATGCTTTTGGAATCATCCATTTAAATGATAATGGTGCGCATGCCACATTTGTTATGATATCAGTGACAAAACTTTGGCATCCTGTTTGAGAAGGACGGAAAATAAGGTAGCCAGATGATCTTAGGTTAATTCTAGGAATTTCCAAAAAAGCGTCAATACAGATTTCCTAAAAAAAATTTCAAAGCAATATTTTATTACAGTGATATAGTTTTATAAGCTATTTAATCATCCAAAAATTTGAAGCTTTTCTGTTTTTATTTTAATAGTGTGTATGTTCTTGATAGAAATGAAGTGTCTGTTTAGGGAAATAAATGACCTATGACATGTTGTGTGAGACTATAAATGTCAGCGATGTTTTTCAAGGTCAAAGAAGCTAAATAAAAATAAATTCGGTTGGGATAACATTTATTCTATCGATGGAATTTTGGTGGAATGTATAATAGTAGTGCGGTTGTTGATTATTTGTGTAATTGGTTTAATTTGTCATTGAATTTGCATGTGATACCTGATGCTTGGAGGCAGGCTAACCCTAATCATAATAGGGGGATGTATGCAGTGTGGAAAATTTTAGACGTGTTTCTTTGTGTTGTTTGTGCTCTAAGGTTATGGAGTCGGTAATTAAAGATCGTTTGAAAAAGAGACAAAGGCAGATTGGAAGCGTTTGAAATTGAGGACTACAGAAGATGGTTAGGAATCAGATGGAAACAGAAGGTGAGGAACGAAGGCATGAAAAACCAGCTTAGAAACAAAAAATTAAGTACAAAAAGAAAGTTTGGGCCTATTTGGACATATTTAGAAGTATATAGTGTTTTACTTTGTGCTTCCTTTAAAAATCTAAATATGTACTAATGATTAAGAGAAACTGCATTAAAAAATTTAGATAAATGGACAAGGGTGAGAATATTAAATTCAGAACATTTGGCAAAGATGGAAAAAGAATTTGAAAATCTACAATAAGTGGATGTCAACGACGTCAGACTCAAGTTTCTCCCGTCTCCAACGCTCCCAGAATGCTGCACTACGTCTGGTTACTGGTTGCCATGCGTCGCATCAGAACGACACCTGCACTCAGAATGCCAGATGTTAACGGTAAGGCAGCATTCAGAGCTAATAACCTCACAATTCCTCCTCCTATGCAATAACCCAAGCCACCAGTGCCATAATATCATCATACAACCACGTCCTCATCGTGACATAAAGACCACCCTCCTCTCAAAATGGTCATCAACAATAAATGTGGTTCTACCAACAATAATCGACGATAACACTCTGAAGACAGCTTTAAAGAGCATACATACAAACACTGCTAAAGCCGCCGCTGAGTCGTACCAGTCAACGCTATTGCTCGACGGATAACCTCCTCCAGCACCAAAAATAGATCCGTCAAAAGAATCACTTCCAAGGGCTATCAGACAAACTCGCCAAACTCCGATCTGGCCGTAGTATTCTTCTAAACAGCTACAAAAACAGAATCGACAATGGGCACATCAATCTCTGTCCTTTTTGCAACAATCATAAGGATGATGTTCAGCATTTGTTTAGATGCCCCAAAAATTCCACGGATCTTCAACCAATAGACCTCTGGAGCAACCCTGTTGCAGTGGCGGATTAGCTCCGACCTCGATTGGAATCCTGAGGGCCCCCCGGAAGGGGCAACAACAACAACAACGATCTCACAAAGGATTAAAAAAGATCATTGATTAATTGAAATAAACAAGTTTGTCAATTTATAAACGACTAGATGACACTACGTACTTTGTAGCGCTTAGAAACTATAAATTTTGTGTTATTAGATGAGTTCCATTAATATAAAAAAGAAATGAAATAACTACATGTTATTTCACTTACATCTGCATCTGGCATGCCTCGCAACGCATCCTATTAAACTTACCGCAAATATTCAGTCGCATCAGTTTTCACACGTATTAAACAGGCTCTTCCGAACCAAAGAACAAAATAATGGCGAACTGCAGGTGGGCGTCGTTATTATTACTAACCTTGACCTCGGGTGAATTTTTTTAATACCCATTCAAATAAATAACAATTTCAAAACACCCCGATATGTGCCAAAACGTCAGTGCTAATTTCTCGATCTCGATGGTTTCTCAATATTTTGATAAATAGTTGTTAATTTTTCGACACACGATTATTTCTCGATGTGAAAATTTGCCAATAATAAAAAACATCAAAATTCGAACAAACAGTTTGTAGATTTGCAAAAAGCTTGCTTTTGTATGTTAATGTTGAGAAATGCAAAAAAGATTTCTTATAGCTTCACAAATCTTATGTACATTTTATTATAGCTTCAAAAATGAAAAAAATAAAATTTTTGACAATTTTTTCTGATTGAAAGCCACATTTTAAATTTAATACTTTTTATACGAGCATAAACCAATTTTTTTTGGAAAAAGATAATTAGGATCTCACTTGTTTATATTTCAGATCATTATTGAATACGAGAAATAAAGATTTCAGCCTTTTTGCTCTCTTCTGATGTTGAAAATTATGAACGGGTTTGTTGCCGGCCGGAGGTAAGTTGTTGGCATCCACAAATTTATCTCTCAACGCAAAGTATTTTATCATTATGACTTGATATTCATTCGGCTGAATGACTCCTTTTTCAGGTTTAAATATAAGACAACTAAAAAAATAATTTCAAGTATTTATATTTTAAAAAAATCCAATAGTAAAACTAATTTCCAACTCGAAAGAATTATAGTTGTTGATATTGTGCTCATCATAAAACACTTCATAGGACATGGGAGTAGTTGCTGTGTTGTGTATGCTGACAGTTCGATAAACTGACTTTCCTAATTCGCAACAAACCATTTTCAGTGGTTGTCGAAGAGGCGGGTCCATTTTGAAATAGGGAACATATTTCTCAACAGAATGTGTGAAGGTCTGACCTTAAATCAGTATGTTTAACGATAGCTTTATGAAATAAACCAAATATATTTAAAATTTAGATAAAATAAAGTTAGAATTGCAAACAAAATTTTAAAAAAATTTTTACGGAAAATTAGAAATTTTTTTGGTAATAATCAGATTATTGCTATTAACAACGAAAATCTTATTTAGAGGATAATGAAGATGAATATTCATCATTTTGTATGATGCGTATCGGATAGTAGTATTTTATTTTATAGACTTCTTCGTAGTTAGAGCTTCCGTTAAGCGGAATTTCGACCAGATTATCGTTCGTCGGATAACTTTATAAGATGAGATTTTTTTTCAAACTTTTGATCACATCATATATTAATTCATCGAATTAATTAAACAAACAAATTAAGAAAAAAATTTGAGTGATCATGAAAACGAAAAACAATTTTTTCAATAGACCACTACTTTAAGCAATTTAAACAAAATTAAAACGTTAAAAAGTTTAATATAAAGCAAAATTTTTATTTTTCGAAACTTATGAAAATTTAATGATAGCGTTCGATCATTTGACTAATATAACCAGTTAAGCAAACTTAATGAATACACAAATATGAAGTTCAACCCACTAATCCATAATTTTCTAAAAATGACACTGAAATCTATTTTACAAAACCTTCGAGAGGCTTGATTGATTGATTGATTGAAATGATTTCGTTTAACCTGATCGCTATGTATAATTTGATCGAGAAGTAGAGCAGAGTAACTGATTTTAACTGATTGTCAAAATTTCGAATCTTTTTTTGTACTTTCCCTAGTTGACTTTTTTAGATGTGCACATGATCAAGATGTACACTGTACACATATTTGAAATGTACAGATATGCCTGCACGAAAAGTTTATATATTTCCAACTTTTTTAAAGAAAGAGACCAGCAAACAACCAAACATGTATCATTTGGCTTATTGTAATTTTTTAAAAATGGAGTCGTGGCTTTACCGAAAAGCCTTTAATTTCTAATATTTTAATTTTAGCTATAAAAAATAGTTTGGGTATAGCCGATGGATTCATTACATAATAGAAATAAACTTAATCTCACTACAAAGCTCGTCAAACTAAAAAAAAAAGATGCGAAAAATTAGAGAAAGTTGTAGCACCCCCGAATGGCAGACGAAGTAAAACTTATAAAACTGCAAAAAAAGGAGTCAAAATAGCCATTCTTTCCAATTTCCAACTAGCTGTCACATTTTTCCAAAATTTCCGATATACAACTACTGATAGTTGTTTTTTTATTGATATTGATTGAAAAAATTATTATCAGCATTTGCCCAGTTATTTTAAAAAAGAGAAACAGCTCGTTAACGGTTAGTTTTACCGCCCTCATTTACCAGCGGGAAAACGAAGAATCAAACGAAATATTAAAATTAAAATTTTTAATTGATTTTATTACGCAAAATTTAATTCCAAGCAAATTTTTCACAATTTATCCGAGATTGTAAATTAACTTCGATACAAATTTCACTGGAAAAAGAAAAAATTTCAATTCCGATTATAAATTGACAACTGTACCATTGCAAACAACGACGACAATAACAATAACAACAACAACAATAATAATGTAAACTCTTTTATTATTCAGAGAAAACCAGTAAAATTAAAAATAATCAAAAAAAATATGTCAATAAAATGTTAAAATTAGTTAAATATAATTAAAATGATAAAATAATATGAATAGTTATGAACGCTCGTTATCCTGAAATAAGTGCCATGATGATAGCTTGTATAAAAATTGGAAACAGTTTGTTCACGCATTGTTTCTATCGCAGTACAGAGCATAGGGTGACGATATTACACTATTGATTAAGCTATATCGAAAATTATCAGTCCAATTTATATCGATTAAAGACAGAATAAAAGGATTATAAAAACCTATAGGCGATATTTCAAAAGTTTTAATTAAAATATTGAAATGTTTAAAATCATTTACAATGTTTTTTTTTAAATTATTTATGTATTTATTCACTTTGTATTGTTTTGATTTCATAAAGTTTGTTTCATGGCAGACGGTCAGTTCGACTATTTCAATAGTATCTTTGTTACAGACGGCGATGTCAGGTCGGAGTGATTTGAACAGATCCGTTACTGGACGCACCAAATCTTTTTCCACGTCTGCAAATATTTCGATACCCGGCCTTGCATTTGCTTTTATGTTATCAATAATTATTGTGAGAATTTTGTTGTGGCGGTTTAAATATCTGCTCAGTGCAGAGGCGGAGCTACAATTTGATAGGACATGTTTGTACTGCATTACAAAGCAAACATGATGCTTTAGTAAATTTACCCCACCTAAAGAGGTTATCATTAGTAGGTAGCTGTTGAATAAGATATTTTCTGGTGAATTTATAGAAGACCTCTGATAGTTTTGCAGTTGACCTGGACCATCGTGTTATCTCGGAGCTATTGATATGCTCTTTTATTGACCTCACAAGACACCTAGGCATCTCAACAACAATAGATGATTGAAATTTGTTTCATATTGTTGTTGTTGTAGGGCATTTATTGCTGGTTTTATTCCACTATTTTTTGGAATGAGGTCGTCAATCTTTCTGTAAGAGTTATGAGATTCATTCCACAGCAGTCTTATTTTCTCGCTGGCGTTTAGCTTGAGATACCCACGGAGTTTTAATCTTAATATCTCGACGTGGTGTTTCAGCGATTTGATGTTGAGGCCCCCAGTTTTATACGGCATCGAGATAACTTCAGCGATGCAGCTGCTTATGGGCAGAGACAGCCATTCTCTTACTGCCTCTATTATAAGGCGGTCCAGAGTGCATTCTATCCAGGTCAGCGACATATCATAGGTACGTAATTCAAATGTTATTTGAGAGGGGATAAAACGTCTGAGAATTTCTAGCTTCCATTGAGCAGTCGTGTCCATTCTCCAATTTTTTGTAGCAAAATTTTGAGTTTATTACATAATTCATTTTTCTCTCTGGTGTTTTTGCCTTCAAAATCGTACATTATTCCCAAGTATTTAAATTGATCGTTGATATTCACATGGGGAATTTTGTCATCGTTTATTGTTAATTGGGGTAGAAATTGTTCATATTTTCCATTGATTTTTCTCATTCCAAATTTACTACATTTATCTATTCTCAATTTTATACCCGTCCATTTACACCAGGTTTGGTTGAGATCGATCAACTTCTGGGCACCCTCAGAACTGCTAGCAATGATTGCTGAGTCGTCAGCTAATTGAAGCCAACCCCTAGATTTTAGTTTGGCTGTAGGTCCCCATATATATCCACACTGCTGGTATTTCTTTGCTTCGACTATTTCCATCAGAGGATTAAAACAAAGATTGAAGAGCAATGGAGAGCTCGGGTCACCTTGTAGGACCCCCTTTTTACTTGGATAGGTGAGGTTAGTTTGTTGCACATCGATACAGTTATCGAGTAGTCAGCGTATATTGATCTAATCATATTGCTGATCTGACTTGGGATGTGGTGATAACTTAAAGCAGATGAAATTAGATCATGGCTAACCTCACCGAAAGCATTTCGTTAGGGTAACAATAATTGTTCTCTGATGTCTTTTGGCAGATGAGACAGTAGCTGCGTGTGTTCAACTACACCATCAACTTTGGGATAGAAGCCCTTTTGAATATTTTTATTGATGAAATTATTTAAATCCAGATATTTGTATATTCTATTTTTTATGAATGTGGAGAAAATTTTAAAGAATACTGGTTGAAGTGTTATTGGCCTGAAATTCGCTGGGTCGTTGGCATCTCCCTTTTTGTAAATCAGAATTGTCAGCCCTTTTCTCCAGCAGGAGGGAATCGATGATGCTCTCCAACATTCAACCAGTAACTGATGAAGGATTGTGCGGAGTATTGGACATTTTTTGAGAACTATTACTGACATCTGGTCCAAAGGGCAAGAAGATGCTCTTGACTTGCATTTCCGGATAATTGAAAAGATTTCATTATACGTGGGAGGATTGGTATCACAGGCTATTGAAGGGTTTGGTAATGTTTTAATCCAATTTGGTAGGGAATGTTTATTGCAAGATTGATCGTTTAAAATGTTGTTGAAAATTGTTTACATTTATCGACGCCAAACTGAGGTAGCAAATTAGGCGTCGGGTTGAATAATTTTTCACACGTCGCCCAAAATTTGTGTTTTAATTGGTTTGTGATATTGAGTGTTTTTTCAAGTTTATTTCGCTTTGTTGATGCTATCCTTGATCTTATTTGTTTGCTTAGCGTTTTAATTTGAAAGTCGAAGTTGTGGTTGTTACGGCCTAGCAGCTTTAGTTGTTTCAATTCCTTCTTTAGTTTGTTGATTGGTTTGTCGAATGTTGTTGTCGAATTTGTTTGTTTTTTAATTGTGCCGTAGGTTGAGGCAAAGTAGTTGTATATTGATGACTGGAAATTGATGGTGAAGTTATCAATGTCGGTGATGTTTGGTAGAGCTGATCTTTGAGAATGGAAGTATGCGTTGGCCTCAGACCATTGAATTGTTGTTTTAGGTAGCTTTATCCCTGGAAGTGGAGTATCTTTTATGACGGTATTTGCTGACGATGACGACCATGGAGATGTCTGTTGGTGAAGCGGGGACGATGGTAGTGGTATCTCTGCCGCGGCGACATCGCTGACGACGACGTCGATGGAGTCGCTCGATGGTGAGGCGGAAGTGATAGTTGTGGTAATTTGGTGCGTTCTTAGGCCCTTTTTACCTTTGCACTGCTTACCACAACAACAGGAAATTAGATTATTATCCATGTTAACAGAAGTATTATTTAAATTATCAACAAGTAAGTTTGGAGATATTACAATATTGTTGCTTTGTAAACGTACATTGTTATTATTGTTCCTACTTAGAGTTGATTTTGTACAACGCCAGGAATGGCTGCTGAGTTTAACGAAGTTTTTAAAACAATATGGGCATTTAGTTGCATTTACTAGTAAGATTGAGTTTAAAATTAAAATTAAAATAATTGAATATTTAAAGTTAGAGTTATTTAGTATTAATTTATTCGCCATAATTTTCCTCTACTTTTAAACCTATCTTTACACTGTAAAACTATGTAAAACTCGATTAATGTAAATAAAACAGTGAGCTAGCAAAAACCTGCCAACTCTCATGTTACAATAATAATAATAATAATAACAACGACAACACTAATAATAATAACAATATTAAACATAGAAATTTACTCACAAAAATGAAAAGAGGAAGTAGAGTAACAATAGAATTTAAATGTTTAAACATAAAAATTAGAATTAAAGAATGAACCTCACCAAACGTTTTAATTTCCAGTTGCCAGGGCGGAAAAACTATCCTCTCGTCAGTTGTGTGACGTTTCAGGAACGGCAGTGGATGGATCACGGCATAATGGTGAGCGAAATAAAACTGGTTGGGCCTCGGCTAAATGACACATATACACAAATAGACGAATAACAAACCATTCAATCTACGAAAGACAAATCAAAATTGCGGTATGAAACATGTTAATGCAATAAAATTCGCTATCGCAGGTGGAATTAAACAGAAATCATTCGACATAATCATATGTAACTCAGTGATCGGCATTTCGGCAAGTTAGCTCAGTTGGTAGAAGTCTCTAGTTAGAAACACTGTTAGTTGGTTCTGGGTAGACAGTACAAAATCCCAAAGCTATTATACACCGTGAGTGTACGATGCGGTTCTTACGCGTGCATACAAGACATGTATGGACATCGCGAATTGTTGATAATTACAGTCTTTGTGGCAAGAAAGTTTAAAGATAATTGCTGATTATATGTAAACTGTTCTATATTTAAACGTCAGAGATGCATAATAAATACTGAAATCGCAAAGCTACCATCTCCGCCAAATATTTGGTGCTTTTGTTGTTTCTAAATATCCATTGGAAGTTTATCGTTGTTTTTTTTAGGTGTCCGCAGTTCGAAGTTCTTTCTTTGTATTATTATAGTAGTAACGAAGGTTAAATAGTAATGAGGTGGTAACAAACGCAGTGATTAAATATTAACGAGGTGACTACAAACAAGGTGATTAAATATTAATGAGCTGACTGACTAGAGACGTAGTGACTGAATATTAATGAGATGACTACAAACGTGGTGACTGAATATTAATGAGGTGACACCAACCGGGCAGAAACTGGCCACAAACTTTATAGTTTTTTCTCCTGCAATGATATCACTGGAGGGTTCTATAGAAAACACGTTTGAAGAGAGACCTGTCGAAGTAAACAAATTAGACTCATTCTTTTTAATAAACAAACGTCAACCTCTTCTGCCGTTTTTGCTGAGTTTTATAGTTGGTTTAAATTTAAACTAAATGATAATTGCATGTTTGGTAAAATATTTATGTATAAATCATGAAACCTATCCGAAAAAACAGATTAAATGATTGTTTCATTGCATCTGTGTATAAAATGTTCTTGAACTTTTAACAACAAATTTAATTTTTATTGATAATAATAAATAGAAAAGTTATACTAAAAAGTAGTTTATTTGAAATTATTTTTTGAGTTATTGTTATTATTAAATATGTATGTGTCCAACATCTGACATGTGTTTCTAGCTACCTTCATAGTATATTAATTAATCATAACGATATACAAGTTAATTACATTTAGCGGAGTTCTAACATAATTTATAAGTAACATATTTTTAACAAATATTACAATTTAAACTTTTTCTAAGAAGCTTATCAGCATTTCAAAACTACTGTCAACTCAAAACAAAACCTACAGTAAGAAGGATCCAAGCGTAACGTCGTAATTTTCGCGAATGTTCAGAATATACAAAATTGTTTTTCGTTTATTTAAATTTTAATAAGTACAATCTAATTTTGTTTGAACATTTGAAGAAATGCATAACTAAAAATGCTTATTTTGGCTCATATTAAAACAGGTTGGTTTAATTCACGGATGAGAAAAAGGTCATTTCAAAATCAAAAAAAGTATAAAGAACCAACGTGAAATCCACGATACATGCACTGTGTTGCCGGTGTGGTTTGTTAAAAAAAATTCCTGAAATGTAATCACGTTGGTTTGTTAGTTTATTAGTTAAACATTATGCGCATATATTAAATAAATGGATAAACAAGAATTATCAAAGAATAGACTGATGTTAACTGACAATAACTCAAAATTTATGCTATTTTTGTGCTAACAGGCCATATTGTTTTTCAGTTTTTTCAATAACTTACATGCAAGAGGAAGAACTGACGCATTACGCAGTAAGGTTAATAAGGTTAAATTAGAGTGTTACAAAATGAGACTATACTATTTTTAGGAAGCTTATATTTGACTTAATCAATTATTCCAAGATGATTTTTTAAAACATTTTTTTTAAAACATTAAATTAGAGTGTTACAAAATGAGACTATACTATTTCTAGGAAGCTTATATTTGACTTAATCAATTATTTCAAGATGATTTTTTAAAACATTTTTGCAATGAAAACAATCAATATGATCTACCAACTACGAGTTACTGGTTATGACGACGCAAAGAAATGTACTAGATGAAACTTGATTTATAACTTTATCAGCCATGCATAATTTAAAATTTATTACAACTGTCACTACTTTTGGCTTAAACAACAAACAGTAAGTTTTTTCAAAAGGTACAATCAATCTAAGTTCTGAACGGATATTTTCTACCAGAGTAATGACATCTCTATCATTCAGCAGGACTGAACCAATTTATGCATTGCAGCTTCATTCAATCAATCAATCAATCAATTAGCTTATAAAGCGCTATTTTCGCGATGTTCAACAGCGCTCCTCAATGAATTTTGAAAACAGATGGGTCTTGAGATCCGCTCTGAACTTCGCAAGTGATGGAGAAGTAGTTAGAGAAGTAGGTAGAGAGTTCCAGAGAAAAGGACCAGAAAAAGCAAAAGCAGATTTGGCAAGAGTGTTTAACACGAGTTAAGAAAAAGCGAGAAGAAGACGATCGTAAACCGGGGCGTTTAGGTTCAATTAATATATCTGATAAATACTTAGGAAATAATTTAGATTGAGACTTATACATGAACGTGCAAATTTTAAAAATTATTCTATATTTTATAGGTAGCCAGTGCAAGAGAACAAGATATGGAGATATATGAGAAAAGAAAGGGGCACGAGCAACTAGACGAGCAGCAGAGTTAAAAGCTTTACTTAAAGGATAGAGTATAGAGTCAGGAAGACCATAGTAGAGCGAGTTACAATAATCAATCCTAGATAAGACTAACGAAGTAACAAGAAGGAGAAGAGTAGGATCATCAAGAAAAGGCAAAAGTTTTTTTATTCTACGTAGATGAAAGTAAGAGCTTCTAGCAACACTATTAATCTGAGAAGAGAGAGACATAGTAGAATCAAAGATAAAACCTAGACTACGAAACTTATGAGAGACATCAAGAGTTTTAGAATCAGG